TAGCGCATGCCTGTAATTCCGGCTACTTGGAAGGCTGAGGCGGAAGGATCGCTGGAGCCACTGCCCTCCAGTCTGGGCGACCGAGTGAGACTCCAACTCAAAACAAACAAACAAAAAAACACCTGGAGTTGGCTGGCGCCCTCAGTGCCTTCCCATGAGGCAGGTACCATCATTATCCCATTCTACTGATAAGAAAACAGGTTCAGAGAAGTTATTCCCCCAACAAATAGCTGCTTGTTCCCTTTTGGAATTTAACTCCCTCCCCTTATCTCACTATGAAGGTTGAGTGAATGGAGAATGACTTGAGTATTTTAGGGATATTGGACCTTCCGTTACCTCTCTTCAGTAAAGACCTCTTCTTCCACCCCTGAGGTTAATACAGGGTTGTCTGGTCACCTGACAGATGTCTTAGGAAACAACATGAGCACCAGCTAGAAATTGCTGGGCTGGTAAGCACTGTGTAGTGGGGGCTGGTTGGGAGATGGGCTTCATGTAGCTTCTTGACCTCAGTGGAACCATCTGTTCAGTAGGGGTGGGACTTGGTCTCAAGGGTTTTCTGTTCTGAAACTGGATTTTGGGAGAAAAGCATCTGAGGGCCGTTGAAAGCCCGGGATGGGAAGGATTCTGGTAGCCGGGCACATCCAGACTCTGCAGCCCCAATACCTACTTGGCCCTTCAGACTTCTGGTTCTGACTGAGGCATGATGGGTCACGTCTTTGAAGGCCAGCTTTCACAGAAACTGGAAACTTCCCTTTAACCCAGCTCTACCTGAAGTCGTCAGCCCCCAGGACCTCTTCCCTGTCTGGGCCAGGGATGTTCCTCTGGCTGGGATGACTGACCATGGAGCTGGCAATCGCACCACGTAAGTTTCCTGTTTTTAGTGTAAGGGTTTTCAGGACTTTCAGATGAGCATCCCGCGGGTTGGGGTGTGGAGGAAGGGTCTGAGGACACCCCAGGCTCTGGTGAGCAGAGAGAGCATGGTTTGGGGGACTGAGGTTGGCATTCATCTTTGCCTGGAGAAGAGGATGGTGAGTTGGAGGGTGGCCAAGGTAGGCCAGGCTTTGGCTGTTCCTCAGGAAGAGACCCCTGTGTCCTCTGTTCGCCAGACCCGTGAGGAGGAGGGCTTGGGATCTGGGTCAGCCCTGGCCTAGTGTCCCACCTCTGCCACTCACTGGCGGCAGTACTTAGCAAGTGAGTCCACTTCTCTGAACCTGTGTTCCTCGTCTATGAAATGGGAATAACAACATAGCCCTGCTCACTTGACAGGTGGTTGTAAAGATCCCGCGATATGTCAGCTAGAGGTGAGGTCACACATAGGCAGTCACACATAGGCACCATGTGGGATTGCTGTCATGACTGAATACTGCCCCAGGGGAATCCTGGCTTAGCTGCACACGCTGTCACCACCATTCCCTGAACCACAGGAACCTTTCAGGAAGGTTACAAAGGTAGCCCTGTGAAACCCCTTCACTCCCTTCTCCCACTCCTTGCAGCGCCTCCGAACTTTCCCTGGCCCAACGCAAGGTTTGTCAGAGCAAAAATCCACCTGAAGTGCCCCTCCTTGTCTTCAGGTGAGGCCAGCAAGTGCTGGTGCCAGAGCCTGGCAAGCAGCCGGCTTACCTGTCCAGGGCTCCCTGTCAAAGCAGTCCACTCCCGAGTTCAGGTCCTGGAAGCCCCCAAGTCAAAATGTTTTCTACAGAGAAACATCTTCAGTCTGTGACTCTCTGACTGCTCATTCTGGGTTAATTCCTGTCTTGGCACCCTATCTCCTGGCTGCCTTTGAAATCACCTGGCATCTCTAGTGCCTTTCCCTCTGTCTGCGACTCCTGACATCCCGTTTTGTTGTAGCAAAGTGACTTCTCCCAGACATTTTTCTCTTAATGGGCAGAGGCCTCATAGAGCCCAGGGCAGAGCTCAGCTGTTGCATTGCTATTTTCTAATTCCAAGTAGCTTGTAAGACGGTCCCTGTTCACAGCCATCTCTCCCTGCCCTCCCTCTCCCTTCGCCACCACAGAAGCACACAACTGCAGAGGTACTGACCCGGATCTCCAGTTCATCCTCAGCCCCTTCCACCTGTCTTCCTTCTTCTGGGCGGAGCCAGCCTTCCAAAGCTCGGGGCTGCAGTTTGGCTGGTGGCTTCTTGGACTCCTTTCTCTGCTGGAAAGGGGAGGCGTTCTCTTTAGGACCCAAAGTCCCCATCCTTTCAGGAACAGAGTGAGGTGAGAACAAAGTCCTCCTCCTTCATGCTCTGGGAGAAGACTGAAGCCCAGAGGGGTTGAGTCGCTGCCCCAGGTCACATAACTAGTTGCTAAGTGGCAGGGCCGTGACAAGACACCCCAGTCAGTATGTGGGGCTTTTTTTTTTCTTTTGAGTCGGAGTCTCACTCTGTCACCCAGGCTGGAGTGCAGCCTTGACCTGCTGAACTCAGGGGATCCTTCTGTCTCAGCCTCCCAAGTAGCTGGAACTACAGGCGTGCCACCACATCCAGCTAGTTTCTTTTTAATTTATTGTAGAGACGAGGTCTTGCCATGTTACCCAGGCTGGTCTTGAACCCCTGGACTTGGGCAGTCCTCTCGCCTCTGCCTCCCAAAGTGCTGGGATTACAGACATGAGCCACTGCACGCGGCAGTATGTGAGGCTTTGTGTAGAGAGTCTCACCTGGACTTTCTGGTGTTCAGGGCTCAGGAAGCTGGAGCCTGCCATGGCTACGTCCATCCAGAGCATGCTGAGGAGCAACAGGCTGCAGACAGTCCCCAGGGAGAGCATGACCTCAGCCGGGTTGGGCACAGATGGGCCTAGGGGAGAGAGGGTCTCTGGGCAGTCTGCCTCATCTCCTCCATGTGCCTCAGAGTTTGCTCAGGTAGGAGCCCAGCAGACAGGGTGAGGGGGCGTCGTGACCTGGGTCATGGTGGCTGAGTACAGAGGGCCTCTCCTCTCCGCACCTCCCCAAGGTGAAAGAAAACGGAAGGATGTGTTTGGCTTTTCCAAGACTGTTCAGGACAGAATGCATGGCAGTAGGACTTGATGTGGGGGTTTGGGGCATTGGCCCCATGTCTTGTGTTTCAGCCCTGAGGAACTTGCGCCAAGTGTTTAGACAAGGGCTGATGAAGCTGAGCCAGCAAAGGCCCCAGAGGACATGTGTGGGGGCAGCTCCGGAACCAAGCTTGGTCTCTAACAGCCGGACTGACCTAGGTTGTCCCTCATCCCCTTCGTCTGGATGGGTCCCGAGAAGTTGAGTGAACAGCCAGCAGTCACAAGGTAAGTGAAACCCATAAACACACCCACACACACAGGGTACCTACCTGGGATTCCTGGCGGAGCTGGTGTCCGGTGGCTGTCTGGTCCCTATATAGGAAGGCTGGTGTTTGTTTTAAACAAGCAACCCCATCTCAGAGGCAGCCTGGCTTCCGTGGGGCTGATTCACATTCCTTGGGAACTAGAAACGTTCGTGTCCTCTGGGTGGAAATCAACAGTGGAGGTCAAATGCCCTGAGAGATTGCTGGGTTGGCTCGGGTGATGCATCTGCTCCAGCTGTCCCTGGAAAACAGCAGTGAGTGTGCCTCCAGTGTAGGTGGGTGGGAGGAGAGCGGCTCTGGGGTCTGAGCCCGGCTTCGTGCCCTGTGGCCTTGGCTTCCTCCCCTTTCTCCTGGGGTAAAAGAGATGGTTGATACCAGAAGATCTCCAAGGCTGCTCCCACCTCAGCACCCTGTTTCTGTGACGTGATGCTGGTCTGGCTTCCACAACCCTCTGGAGCACACTGGGAGGCAGGCTCATGTGATCCCCCACAGCCCCTGGGAGGAGAGTCCCTTTTCACAGATGAGCAAACAGCTGGGAGGTGCAGCAGCACATGCTGTCCCCTCCAAGGAGCAGAGGTAAAGGTCATTCCAAACAGTGGCCACACTCTAGTCATTTCTTCTGGGTGCTACAGATGCCTGTGCTAGACCTGATGTTTCTTAACATGGCGGCTTGCCTTACCTTCCCATGGTTTCATGGATGCCTGTTCTGAGAGGGACACAAAACAGATCTTGCGGAGGCAGAAGACCTGCGCCTCATCCCAGCATAGGTCTTCACTAGCTGACAGGACCGGGCTGAGGCAGATCATGAATCATCTCCCTTGCTTTAGGGCCTGCCCTCAGAGTCCTTTAAGGGTGTGGGGGGGTGATGGGTGTGAAAGCTTTTTATAACCTGTGACGTATCCTACAGCTGACAACTCTTACACCAGGTCCACAGGACTTGCAAGCTAGGTCATTGCTTCACATTTCTATCAGCCCTAGGGATTCTTCGCTTTCTGGAGTGCATCTAATTGGATGCCCCCTACACAGCATTCCGAGCAGTTCACAGGAGGAATTCCCCTCAGTGGGGGTCTAGGCTAGGATATCGGGAAAGACTCCCCTGAGGAGTGTGTGGTGGGCTTGGGGCAGGGCTTTGAAGGTAGGGCGTCCTGGCAAGCAGAGGAATGAGAACGGAGGGGAAGGTGTATGATGGCAGAGTATAATGGGGCAGTAAGGAGAAGGCTGGGGACGCGGGGGAGGGTGGCAATGGGACTCCTGGCGAAAGGGCTAGAAGGTGCGTTGGATCAAGTGATGGTCAACCTTGGAAGCTGCCAGCCCAGGAAGTCTGGGCTTTATATGCAGGAGGGAGGTCATTGAAGGGTCTTGATCAGAGGAGAGCTGGTCCATAGAATTAATGGAAGAGTTGGAAAGACTCTAAAACCCTGGGAGTCTGAACCCTTTACTGCACTGGAAGAAAAACAACACACTTCCCCCAAAGCCATGCAGCCATCAGGTTCAATGCCAGCACTGCCACCCAGGCTTCTTGATTCCTAGTACAGTGTTCTTTCTGATGTGCCATCTGCCTCCATAATGAACGTGGTATTCCAGGAGTATCAGCCCTCAGAGCAGGATGGAAATGGGGCAGGATGTCCAGCTAGGAAGACATTGAGACAGTGGGACAGTTGATGAACAGATGACCACTCTAAAGATCAGCTTCAGGGTGGACTGGCTCCTGGTAGAAACTCTCGGGACCGTGGAGACACAGGCTGGCTCGACTGAATCCTCAAGTGTCATGTGGAGGATTGAGTACCTCCTGTTGAAAACAGCCCACCCACCTGCTCACTGTGGTGGCTGAAATCCTACCTTCTGCCCCAGAAGGATGTTACTAGGGGACCTTCACGGCCCTGCTAGCCGCCTGAGTGAGGGCCTCCTTTGGCCCTGGGGCCCATGGGGTGAAGGTAGAGAGGGTAGAGAAATCTGGAGCCCTCAGGGAAGACTGGAACCCGCACAGCCACCAACCCCTCCCCCACCCAAACACCCCAAAATAGAAAAATCCCAACTATGGTGACCAGGCACGTACTGAGACATGAAGCCTCTGCTTACTGCTGACCCTGGAGGCCTCTGGAGGCAGGAGCTGCCAATGTTGATCTTAGATAACACCACCGGCAAATAAACACCCACTGCTTACTGTTATCTTTGGGGAGCTGAATGTCGCCTGGGAGTTGAAAGCGCCTGGGAGTTGAAAGCCCTCCTAACCACATAACACAGAGTCGAAGAAGGAAGATCTGATGGCTGTAGGAACCACTGAGGGAGGAGGCACCCAGAAAACACCTCACAGTTGCAGAAGGGAAATGGATGTGGGTTGGAAAACAGATGTGTTGGAATCAGGATGAGTTTGGAGGAAGACTGAGGGCCTGGGAAAGAACGGGCTCATTTTCCTCCTCATTCTTCTCAAGTCTGGATATAACCAAGACCAATTTGGCAACTCCTGGATGGCGGGGACGAAACCCTGTTCTTTCTCTTGGAACTCAGCAGGGGCTCAGGAAGCATGTTTCCTCCGTGGCTTGTGGCTTCCCACTGCTGGTCTCTAGAGGGCCTGCCTTACTGAATGCACAAGGATGATTCAGCATTGTGAATTAATTGCTATATGTAAATGGTGTCTGAGAACAAATTAGCATTATACACTTTCCCCTATAATTTTATTTGTACTGGTAATTCGTTGCTTGAGCACTTTTTCCCATCAATTTGGCTAAACAGTCTGAAAGAGGGAGGTTCTAGGGCTGTGGAAAGAGGCTTTATTCTTTAGGACAGGGTTTTTTAGTGTAGTCTCTTTTTTCTCTTAGTTCTGATTTAGTAACTTCTAGATTAGCATTTTCCAACAGAAATATACAGGTATACCTCAGAAATACTGCAGGTTCAGTTCTAAACTACAGGAATAAAGCGAATCACACTAAGTTTTTGGTATCTCAGTGTGTATGAAAGTTGTGTCTATACTATGCAGTAGTCTGTTACATGTGCAACAGCATTATGTCTAAAAAAAACAATGTATAGGCCGGGCTCTGTGGCTCAGCCTGATCCCAGCGGTTTGGGAGGCCGAGGTGAGTGGATTGCCTGAGCCCGCAGGTTCGAGACCCAGTTGGGCAACTTGGCGAGACCTCATCTCTACATTAAATCAAAAAATTAGCTGGGCGTGCTAGTGTGTGCCTGTAATTCCAGCTACTTGGACAGCTGAGGTGGAAGGATCGCTGGAGCCCAGCAGGTGGAGGCTGCGGTAGCCGGGAGCAGCCACTGCACTCCAGTCTGGGCGACAGAGTGAGACTCCAACTCAAAAAAAAAAATGTACATACCTAATTAAAAATACCGCCACAAAGCGCTAATGATCCCCTGAGCCTTCAGGAACCGTCACCTTTGTGCTAGTGGAGGATCTCGCCTCCAGGTTGATGGCTGCTGACTGACCAGGGTGGTGGTTCCCGAAGGCTGGGCTGTGGCAATTTCTGCAAATAAGACAACAATGATATCTTTTCATGAAAGATTTCTCTGTAGCACATGATGCTGCTTGATAGCACTTTACCCACAGAACCTTCAAATTTAGTGTCAATCCTCTCAAACTCTGCTGTTGCCTTATCAACCAAGCTTAGGGGCTATTCCAAGTTATCTGTTGTCATTCCAACATCTTCACCAGGAGTGGATCCCACCTCAAGAAACCACTTTCTCTGCTCATCCGTAAAAAGCAACTCCTCACCCTTTAAAGTTTGGTCATGAAATTGCAGGAGCTCGTCACATCTGCAGTCTCCACTTCTGGATCACCTCTTGCTATTCCCACCACATCTGCCCTGACTTCCTGCACCGAAGTCTTGAGCCCCTCAAAGGCATCCACGAGGGCTGGAATCGACCTCTTCCAAACTCCTGTTCATGTGGCTGTTTTGACCTCCTCCCAAGAATCACGTACGCTCTTAATGGCATCTAGGATGGTGACTCCCTTCCAGGAGGTGTTCAGTTTATCTTGCCCAGCTCCATCAGAGGAACCACTGTCCATGGCAGCTATGGTCTTACATGTAGTCCTTAAATAATTAGACTTGAAGATCCAAATGACCCCTGATCCACGGGCTGCAGAATGGGTGTCGTGTGAGCAGGCATGAAAACAACACTCCTCTCCTTGTCTATTTCCATCAGCGCTCTGGGATGACCAGGTGCGCTGTCAGCGAGCAGTAATATTTTGAAAGGAGTCCTTTTTTCTGAGAAGTCGGTCTCAATATTTAAGCGGGCTTAAGATATTCAGTAGACCGTGCTGTAGACAGATGTGCTGTCATCCAGGCTTTGTTGTTCCATTTATAGAGCACAGGCTGGGTGGATTTAGCCTAATTTTGAGGACCCTGGGATTTTTAGAATGGCCCATGAGCACTGGCGTCGACTTAAAGTCGCCAGCTGCTCACAAGAGGGTCAGCCTTGCCCTTTGAAGCTTTGAAGCCAGGCGTTGACTTCTCCTCTCTAGCTGGGAAAGTCCTAGCTGGCATCTTCTTCCAGAAGACTGTTCGTCTGCACTGGACGTCTGTTGGCCAGTGCAGCCTCCGTCTTCAGTGATCTCGGCTGCTCTTGTGGACGACTTGCTGCAGCTTCTCCATCTGCACTTGCTGCTTCACCTTGCACTTATATGTTCCGGAAATAGCTTCCTAAACCTCATGAGCCACCTCTGCTAGCTTCCAACTTTTCTTCTGCACTTTCCTTGCCTCTCTCGGCCTTCGCAGAATTGAAGAGAGTTGGGCCTTGCTCTGGATTAGGCTTTGGCTTAAGGGAATGTTGTGCCTGGCTTGATCTTCTATCCAGACCACTGGAACTTTCTCCATTACCAGCAATAAGGCTGTTTTGTTTCCTATCATTCGTATGTTCACTGGAGTAGCACTTTTAATTTCCTTTAGGAACTTTTTTTTTTTAGTCAGTCTTACTCTGTCACCTAGGCTGGAGTGCAGTGGTGAGCCTGGCTCAGTGTGCCTTAAATCCTGGGTCCAGGTAATCCTCCCACCTCAGTCTCCCAAGTAGCTGGGTCTACAGTCATGCACCACCATGCCTGGCTATTTTTTTATTTTTGTAGAGATGAGATCTCACTATATTGTCCTGTCTGGTCTTGAACTCCATGGCTAAGCAATTCTCCCACCTTGGTCTCCCAAAGTTCTAGGATTACGGGC